GTAAAAAAGCACTTTCCTTGAGAAATCATGATATATGGCTTGTCTCATCACCTGTTCTTTCTTTGTAGAACAATTCAAGAAGAGATAATCTCTGAATTCAGTCTCCTTTCTGTTGCTCCACACTCCCAATGTATATATATACTCAATACAAATTCTTACTCTAAAAATAACTCATAATGATGTGTCATTTGCCTCCTGTCTACACCTCTTAGTAGGTCCTAAAATATCAGAGCATTAAGCCAATACAGACAGCAGGACAAATCCATTTATGTTTGACAACCATAGTTTAAATCGTTACTAGCTGTGGATCTACTTACAAAGAAAATTTGACATGGCTTTACTGTAGAATCTGCCAACTAAATACCTCATCCTTTCTAATCTAGCTTTCATCTAGAAACCTCAGTGTTGGGGCTTTCCCTTGAAGCAAGTCCTATGGCATAATTGCCTTATTACCAGCAAACCCATTCTTCTTAATTAAAAATAACCAAGACAGTTAACCTATTGATATCCTTTGACTTTCTAAGGCAACACAAAGTGCATATACATATGATCCTTYCCTTTCTTATCATGCCATTTCATCAAAAGCTATAGAATAAAAACTGGAGAGAATTGGAGAAAGCCACATGCTTGCTGGAAGCAAACTTTCTGAATCTTCTCCTTTATCTCAACACAGTACAGCTAAAAAAGCCAGTATGTTACCTTGAGAGTCAGCTATTTATTTCTCTGTCTTACAGCAGCTAAGTTGATTTTATAGGGATAATATTAATTTAAACAAGTAAGGGGAAAATGGTCCTGTACACGTTTTGGGAAAACAATATAGATATGGTGAAGAAACACAGTGATTTTTTTTTTCTTAAATATGAACTCATACACAGAACAAAATGCTCCAGAAACAGCTGCCTGAAATATTCACCAACATAGAGTGATAAAAAAATTTAAAACACAGCAATCCAAATCTCCTCTGACAAGCTTGTAATAGGAATAGAGTCTGAAATGCAAATTAACTTTTTAAAAAAGCTAAACATCATTCCTCACCAGTTTAAGGATAATCTGTCTGACTAGAGGATGACTTATTTATCTTTAAGGCTTCTTCTGTTTCATTTTATTACTTTTCATAACAGGAAGAATATAAAATATTGGTCTGAACAGAAGAATCATAATGTGTCATGGGCACAGCAATTTAGAAATTGAGGCAATCATCTGGATAAGATCAGAGAGAGATGCCTTCCAGATCAGATTTAAGCAAGCAGTGAAATCTAGTCATGTAACATGTAATGTGTTTCTTTGCCTTCTGTAGCTAGAAAATGCTAATATTGAACTTGCAGAAATAATTCCTCATAAACTGAAATGTCACACAGTGTGTTGGCATTCTCTGACACAGTGATGTCACTTCTGAATGGATCATTCTTGGCAGACATTATTTACTTTGTACTTCATAACAAAATGGAGCACTCAAAACTTCTGGTACACTTAAATAAAAATCCACTTACCTAGATTTATTTTCTTGTTCATGTTCTTTTCTTCAAGCAAAGAAGCTTGGTATATGTCTTAAAATAAATCAGAAATCTTTGTAAAAAGGACTTTAGTTCAGAGTTATACCAAAAGAAAATGAAAGGAAAAAAAAAAAAAGGTCTATTTTACTGGATTGGCTTTCCAAAATATTTATCACTCAAATTACAAAAACTAGTATATCAGCCAGACTACTTTCCTTTGATGGTGAATGGAAGATGCATATTACTATGTCTCCATGCTTCCTTTTGTACCAAAGAAACCAACAAGTTGTCAAATCCAGATCAATCAAAAGATCCAGCTATATGCATGACTAACATCCTGCGTGTACTGGCGTGACACCTACAAATGCAATAAATGCTTTTTCATACTGGTATCTATACAAAATAAATGCACGCAGAAACCACAGCTCTATCTGAGTTAGCTTGTAACCTAACAGGTTAGCAGACCGTGCATGACCCTTGCAATTTTTATTCCTTTATAGGAATACATGCTTTGTTGCCTTTCCTCCAAATCTGATGCTTATGCCGTCATACCTATTTATTTCAGTATGATTCATCTGGGTAGGATACATGGAATTTATCTGCAGTCATGTCTCCATTAGCATAATCTCAGTCAAATGAGTAGCCTTAATTCTTTTATCAGGTGCACAAACACACACTCTCTACAGTGGTGGTTGCTTTGCTGCTGATTAAAATGTTACCTGCATGTGGAAGAAGTGTCTTGTTGTAGCAAAGACATCGCTTTTTTGTGACCTTCGTAAGTCGACACATATCTACCTGCAGAGTGGTTTGATACTGCAATGGCCTTTGCAAATTCTAGATCCTTGATTAAAATCAGGACCCAAGATTCTTTACACAGATTAAGATCATATCTGATGAAACTCAGGAGAGGGTTAGGAAAAACTATAGAATGGGCTTCCGGTGAGAAATTTAAGCAAAATATGTGAAAAGCAAAGTAGGATTCCAGTTAGGAATGGCAGCCAGTCTCAGAAAAAATTATCAAACATCCAACACTACAGAATAATGACATTCAGAAAATAAGCTGTAAAGACAGAGGGAGAGAATGTGAGTGTTCATTCCTTGCTTCAAACTCTGTTCTGGTATAGAAAGTTTGAATAGAAGAACTTTTTTCTTCCGTTTTTTTTAAACTTCCATTTTCCAAGACTAATGTAAGGTCTCTAATAAAGTCACTTATTTGTAAGCCTTTGTCATAATAGGCTAACTGATTAGCTCAAGGAGGCCAAAGACTATCATCTGTTTGACAGCAAGGCACAATAGTGAAGTTTTATTATTTTTAAACAAAAGTCATGAAAAAAATGCTAAATGTTGTGAAACTGTCATATGAAGACAAGTTCTATAGTTAACTAATTATGAAATATGTAACTAAAATCAGAGACAAAATTCTATTGCTGAATTGAAGTACTGAGGAAATTCAATTTTGCAGGAAGGACCAAATGCAGCTTTGAATAAAGAGCTACATTGAATTTATTCATAATTCATTAACTGTAGACGAACAATTTAAATACCTTTTGATTGCTGTCTTGTACATATATATATATGTATGTATGTATAGACCTTGATTTCAAAGGAAGTCTGGGTAATTCTGTAATGAGAAAGGCAGGAAATATAGTTGAAATGGTAAACAAGCCTCAGTAGGATCAAAGCATTAACTATTTTCTGTGCCTCTTCAATTATCACAAACAGTTTGAGCTACTGCAGTCACAGAACAGATTGCATGATTATCTACTTTGGGGGGTATTGTATATGTTATGATGCAAAAAAATACACTCACAAACACAGCAAAATATGGTCTCAGAAAATAAATTTGCAACAAGACTGTTTTATTGCATTTGAAATAAACAATTGATGACAAGTCCCAGAAGGTTATAGAGTTTTTTTTCCAAAAACCTGAAACACATTTAGCTATGATCTGAAAGAGGATAAATTATTTACAGGTATAGTTACCTAGCATCAAACAAGAAAGCAGGAAATCAAACAAGCTGTTCTAATTTCTGAATCTCAAAGAGCTTGGTTGAATTCAAAAAGAACTGAACCTTTTTGGGGACTCGGATGAAATAACAGATTGTTAAGTGAGTTATTCAGATATGTGAAAAATACATGTCAGTCTATGCTTGGAAATACCCAGTGTACTCACTTTTATTTTAATTGCAGATCAATGTTATGGAAGTAGGAATGAAAGAGTTCAGTTTTACCTCAGTTTAAGGTTTGCTGTTCCATTTACAAGGTACTCACAAAGTATAGGCAATGTAATTCCTGGGCCCAAGAATGTGCTGGGCCCAAGGCAGTGCTTTTTGAAATTAGTATGGTTGACAAGATACGTTAGAAAAAGATCTAATTCTTCCTCCTAAAAGCACAATCACTTCAAAAAATATGTCATTTTTCTCAAAATCCTGATCCTAATATTTCAACCTAGGTATGTTATTTTCCACCAAAATCTAGAACTATCATTGAGCAAATATTTACTACAATATTTATTTCAGCATCAGCTTAAGTGCAGGAACGATATTTGTCCATTAAGTTGACATTTTTGCATTTAACCTTTAATTAAGAATGCTAAATTCAGTTCTTTTAATTTAAGAAAAGTGTATGAGGAGTAAATTGGTCATATTACTGTTGCATATATAATGCAGATAGCCTTGATAATTACTAAAATGATGATGGTGTTCCTTGGAAAGATTGGAATTCCTTTAACTGTTTTAAAATACATGCTTGGATCAGATTGGGGAATTCAGTATAAGTTCCAAGGACAAAAATGACCTAGCTGCACAGTAAGAAATATCAAGAGACCTAATTATACAGGAAGGAAAGACTGTTCACACATCTGGGATATACAGAGAAGAACTGCTCAGCCAGAGGTACTTAGTTAAAATAGGGTAAACAGGTGAACTCAGAAAAGCTCTCTTTGGAAAGTTTTCCTGTAAGATTGTTCTGCAGCTGTACAGCTGGAGGTATAATGGTCTAACAACAATTGGTCTTTAATGTCAAACTTCCCATGCACAGTGTTATTGTGAGTACGTATTCACAGACTGAAGAATTTCAAGAATATCTTGGCAAATTTTGTGAAAATGTCCAGTTTAGTTTCTTATTTTTTAATTCATCTAGAATAGGGAATAAGTTTATGTATCAGTTTTACTAATGGAGGAACTCAAAAACTGTTTGGTAACTCCATATCTTTCCACAGTCATGCTCAGGTTCATACTAATATTGAATAATCTTTTGATGCTATTTGATGTTGTTTCTTCCTAATAGACTGAATGTCTGACTGAAATCAACAATCCTTTTTAGGCAAAATGGATTGAATTCAGCAATACTTGCTATGCAAAAATGGCAAGTGTTTTGAAGGCCTCAAGCTAACCCTGAGATCTGGATTGAGTAGCTTAGCTTAAACACGTTCCTTTCCATTGAAGTGCCAGCATCTGCAATTCTTATTCTGTGGGATGTTAATTTTTGCTTGTGTTTACCCTACAGGGCTCTATGAAAACTATCCAACCAATGCAGAACCAGAATGCTGTGATGTCAGATGGGGACTATTATCAGATCATCAATCCAAAGGGACTATAAAAACAAGTGGCTCAACAATGTGTCACAGGACATCACTCACAGTTTCATCAGCATCAAGACTGTGTAACAGCAGACTTAAACTGTGTGTTCTTGTATTAATTCTCTTACATACAGTACTTACAGTCTCAGCAGCACAGAACTCAACAGGACTGGGCTTTGGAGGCATAACAACTTTGGAAGATAATTCAACCAATGAGGAATAAAAGAGAGGATTCACCTTATATGATAGAAACACAACAGGCCCAAAGGACTAGAGTCTAATATAACAAATACTGAGTGCTTTGCCCTCAGATCTCTTCATGAATGACCTTTTGGGTAAAATAAAAAGATTGGGCCACTACCCAAAAAACAAGGACACATGAACACAGCTTTTTATTGACTAAAAGGCTGTATGGTGACTTAAATTTCTCACACCATTTTATACACTGTGTTTTAATGTTTGGAGTTTCTTTTTTTGTTTGTTTTTTGCACTTGTTAATACAGGATTTTATTTTTGGGACGGTTTCTCAAAGCTAAATTAAGTCTTTTCTCTGTCGATATATTTCTAGTCATCGTGTGTGTTCATCTGATAGTTCTGTCTTTTATGTCCTGTCAGTTTCTATTAGAGGAATGACTGCTATGATTCCATGACATAGCAAAAACTAAACAACAACAA